CGGCGACATCAAGGCCCTCAAGGGCAACCTTGAGGAGGCGCGTCAAGCGGCTTTGGCCGGCGCCTCGGAGCACGAAGCGGTCGTCAAGGCGCTCCATGTTGACCATGAGAAGGCGCTGGCCGCCAAGGGTGCTGAGTTTCGAGACAAGTACGAAGATGCTGTACGCGGCCGCTGTGTGGTATGCCCAGCTTGCAGCGACGTCGACGAATCGAGTGAGTGGACCGTCTTTGGTGGGCCGCTTCTCGAAGACACGGACTTTGACAGCGACATGGAGGTGGTTCTTGGTGAACCACCGGCTCCGCCAGACCTGGTCGCCGCCGCAGAGCTCGAAGCAGAACGCAAGGCTTACGAGGCGCTCAAAGCGCAAGCCGACGACGCAGCTGCCCGCGCCGCATCGAACGAGCTGCGCCTCGAGAACAAGATCTTGAAGCTCATGACGACCATCAACGATCTCTCGGCCGGTGTCAACGCGCTCTCGTCCGACAAGTCGGAGCTCGCAGCGGCGAAGGTGAAGCTCCGGGAGGAGACGACAAACCTCCTGGCGCGCGTAGCCGCTTTGGAAACGGCGCTGCAGACGCAGAAGACCGACGCCAAGACCGACATGCAGGCGCTCGAGACGCGGGCGGTCACGGCCGAAGCCGCTCAAGAAGCCAACGCGACGACGATCCGGGAGCTGCAAACCACAATCGAAGGACTCTCGACGAGCGCCCTCTTCAAGCGTACGCAAGAGCTCTCGAAACAAATCCGGGACCTCGAGACACAGCTGCACCGACTTGGGTACTAGCGACTAACTCTTCTTGAATACTACATATTTTGCATATCCATCGACTTGGCTACTGGAACGACTAAGAGCTTAGTTCATCTGGTAGGACAGGATAAAATAGGATAAAACAGGATAGAAGGGTTGATATGATTAGCATCGGGTAGGTGTATTAGCATATAAGTGCTATCAATCTATGCTACGTTGGCAACTCGAACAATGATTACCGGAGCTGTATTGGGGCCAGGGTTATTCTATTCCTTTGGTGTAATCGGCAGAGGGGTCGACGCCTTGGGCGATGGTTCCACGATCGTGATCTTCTTGGCGCGGCCCTTGATGCCCATGGACAAGTGTGTGAACTCCCATGCACCACTGGCCGTGTTGGGGCGCGTCGCCTGGACAAACATGGTGCCTTCCCCTAACCCTCCTAGTCGGTAACCGAACCAACGACGTAGCGTCTAACAGCTACCTTTGGGGCCCTTGCACACCGACTCAAACTTGGCGGACGTGTCCGAGATCGCGCCCACGTAAGTGTTTTTGTTGGTCTTGATCGGGTGACCTAAAAAGTCCTTGACCTTGGGCACTTGGTTCACGCGGTCGAGCCCCATCTAGGACCAATTCGCATGCATACTAGCCCAGCCTCGAGCGTACCTGGATGATGTACGCGGGTCGGTTCTTGAGAATGCGCAGCATCACATAGCCGGCCGTGCACCCGACGCCAAAGCACAGAAGCGCCTACGCCACATTAATCGCGCGCCATTCCGTCGGCGTGTACCGGCAGCGCCAGCTTGGAGATGAGCGCCTTGAGCTCGTCTTTGCGCTGCTCCTTTACTTCGGCGTCTTGGGCGTCGGTCAAGACAACAGTGGGCTGCGGTTTCAGGAGCGAGACGACGCTGCCATCGGCCTGGATCAAGTCGAGGCGCTGGAGCGCGTACTTGCCGTTCTCATCCTTCGCACTTGCGTCGGCCGTGTAGTGCACGACTGTCTTCCCGCTACAACATGCATGCATATATGTATGTATCCTTGTCGGGCGTTCGTACCGCTCGCCTTCGAGGCCAATCGTGCCCGAGTAGATCGTCGCGCCTTCGGGCACCGCGTCCTGCCGTCGTGTCCTTAGAGTCCGCATTGCAGGAAGACGCATGTACGTACCGGCAGCATCTCGACCTTGGTGGGCAGTCCCGTGATGTCAATGACCACCTTGTTGCGGATCGCCGTGTGCTTGGCTTGGAGAAACACCAACGTTTCCTGCACAGAGATGGTCGCATGCAAGGTGAATGGACAGCGCACGCACCGTCGAGTCGTCTTCGTTCATGCTCTTGTAGAACGATGTGCCCACCAGCAGCGTCGCGGCCGTGATCATGTAGAAGCCAATGTCCCGCACGTACGGGTCGAGGCCGGCCGACTGTTCGACCGCCGCCTCTTTGGCGACCGGCGCCGCTGCCTTTTTGGAGCGCTTGGCACTGAAGAAGCGTAGCTGCCCATACGCGGGCTTGGGCTTGAGGCCATGGGCCGCAGCGAGCGTCGTCCGGGTCCCGGCCAGCAAGCGCGTCGTGCGTAGCATCCTTCGGCAAATCTCGGGGCAAACTTACGTGAACACGAATTGAAAACTTAGCAGAAGGGGTATAAAGTGAATAAAAATACATTAACTATAATGCTGCATAATTCCTTTATCTTGATTAAAGTATGCAAATATGAAAAGACCTCATTATTAATACGCGGCACCCTCGCGCATGGTCTCTTGGCCAGTCAAAAGGCCCGAGCCAACGCTTCGGGCGCTCAGTTTTGAATTTGCAGTTTAGTCGAAAGTTAGTCGAAGTGGATAGTCGACGCCGCCATGCTTTTGTCAGGAAGTCACAACACCTCTATTTGCGACTTCTGTTACTTGCGTGGGAAAGGAACGCTTGGCTCTCTCTGGCCCCTCGTTCTGAGGGACCTCTTGAGCCGCCTGGGATTGATGAGAGTGGAGAAGCGGGGTTACCTTCCTGGTAGCCTACTCCTGCGCCTCCTAGATCAGCACCATACATTCTCGATTGAAAAAACGACTAGAGTCTTAGTAGCAGCACGTATACTATGATGCGCGGATGCACTCCATATCACGCATCACTATCACTTGTGCTCAAAGCAACGCGACCTCTCAAAAGCACATATTGGATGTCTTGCCGTGATCCAACGTGCCGTCGATGTGGTCACATCCTTCTTGAACCTCTCAATTGAACTCGACTAACTAAAGGACAGAGCGTAAACTAATACCTACGACTACGTACTTATTGCAGCAACCTCTCAAGATTCGAAAGCTTGGACGCAGGAAGGGTCGATACGCGCATAACATGGCGATGGACTTGATGAGCTCGGCGCATCGCGCAAGCCCGGGAAGACGGGGTCGCTCGCATGGGGTGCTAGTAGGCAGAGGCTTCCACGAGCCCTGCGTCCGAGCCTAGCTGTCCGTGCCAGAAGCTACGGGGCAGCCAGGCCCATCAGAGGAGGTATCTAGCGAGGTTGGTGTCGCTTCGGGTGCGATCTTGTGAGGCGTCACATTCGACAATTCCTTGCCCATCGATATCATGAACGTACGTCGGATGGAGCGCTTGGCGCGTGATGCAACCCTCCATGTAGAAGCGCGAGATGCTGCAAGAGGTGCTGCCCAAGGCCGGCCTTGTCTACTCGGAGCGCGGCAACTTGACTGAAGTGCTGTGCAAGCCCAAGATCATGCCCATCAAGTCGCTCACGCTCCTCCAGCTCGAAGAGCTCGAGAAGCAAGCCCGCAAAAAGGTCGTCAAAGACTACGACTAGCGCAATCATCATCAACTGCTTGTGTTGGGTTACATGCCACCGCCAAACATGTTCATGAGCGAGCTCAGCGCCGACTGCGGCGGCTGCACGCCATAGTACTTCTGCGCAATGATGCTCATAAACTAGAGCCACACGCATATGAGGATCGACAGCAATCGAGGAGGTCGACGTACGTTGCGGAAGGAAGGGTCGCGCGACAGCGCGTACGCGTAGCGTTCCTGAAGCAGCTGAAAGAGCGGAAGGGCATCGCGCTACCATACAACGCTGTGGTCCCTTCCCTGTCCAACGTCAGAGACGTCGTAGTACCTCGAGCGTGCGCAGGATAAACTTGACGCAGTTGATCAGCGGCGTGTCCAGCGGGCGGGCCGCAAGGAACTCGGTCAAGACGACGTTGGCATCGCGGAGGTTCTCCAAGCAAATTAGCCTGGACATCATAGATGAGGGAGGCAGACAAACAAAGAGGTGACGTACTGCAAGACGGCGCGCGCAACAAAGAGGTCGGCCTCGCTGGCGTAGCCTGTGGCCGCGTGCGCCATGAGCATCTGGCTCATCTCGCGGGGCTGCTCGGCGTGCAAAAAGTGGTTGTTTGCGTTCGTGTAGTCCGTCGCGACCGTGTAGACACGCGCGAGCCAGAGCTGGAGCTCGGCGTCGCCGCGCTGGCGGCTACCATGCGCCTTGGACCACTTGACGGCCTGCTTGAGGAACTCCGAATGGTCCTTGGTCGCGGTTGCGCTAAAGGCTTCCGAGATGGCCTGCACGCGCGCCTTGTTGGTTGCATCGACTGCAAACTTTTGGGCCATGTACAAGTCGATCATGAGGCAGCCCATCTCGCGCGCGGCCGTAAACTGATCGTGCTTGGCGAGCTGGACCGCCGCCGTGTGCGCGAGGTCAATGGCCCGCATGTGGTCGCCCGCGGCCGCGTACCGGCTGTAGAGCGTCTTGTACATCTGCAGCGCTCCATAGAAGTCCCCTTGCTTCAGGCGCTCTTCGAGCTTCTCGGCCACGCTGGCCGCCCCACGAGCGCTCTTGATTTGACGGACCATCGTCGTTCACAAAATAATATCGTGCTCCAAGCCCCAGGTATCCGGATGTCCGGATATCCCAGCCAAACCCAACACCACCTCTGACCTGCGGCCGACTTGCGGGCCGTCCCATCGAGTAAGGTGCCGAGTGAGCACACCTAACGAGAAGACTACTCAATGGACCGACAGCATGTTCGCGTCAAGCTGACTACCGTGCGTGAGTGTTCTAGACTCTTCGGTGGTCTGAACCAATGGCATCGTCGCAATCGTATCTTGAACAGTCACGTCCATGGACTCCGGAGTGAACGTGGCAGGCCCATGTCTTGGCAGTTGTGTCCTGGACAGCTCGTCCGCTCGTCCGCGAGCTCTAACTGCACTGCAGTGAGTACGGTAGAGACACGCCAAACTGGTCTGTCGCTGGGGTAGGGATGAACGTCGACCTGTCTTGAGAGAAAAGCCGTTCTTTGATGGCATCGCACGCCGCGCGCCACACGCGATCTACAAGACCGCATTGTAGCAATAGATTTGTCTCTCGCACACGTACGACTGCCATGTTGACTTGTTCTTCCTCCTCGGGTTCGTCGGGCGAAAGCCGCCATTTGGTCGACCGCTTGCGCGCCGTCGGCCTCGACAAGTACATTGAGCTCCCTCAAATCGCCGTCATGGGCGACACGTCGAGCGGCAAGTCGTCGGTGCTCTCGGCCATCTCGGGCATTTCGTTTCCGTCCTCGGACGTGCTCACGACGCGGTGCCCGACGCAACTCATTCTGACGCACGCATCGAATTTTGCCGGCAGCGTGCGCCTCTTGCGGTACCAGTCCAGCGCGTCTGACACGTCGCCCAAGAAGATTGAGACGCTCGACCAAGTCACGGCAGCGATCGAAGAGTTTACGCAGCTCCTCGTTGACGAGGGCCAAGTCATTTCCGACGATGCGATTGAGATCAAGCTCCAAGGCCCCGACTTTCCCAACTTGACGCTCACGGACCTCCCGGGCCTCGTGCGCACCGTGCGCGACGACGAAGACCCGGCCATGATTGGCCGCGTCCGCGCGCTTGTGGACCGGTACCTGGTGCAGACGCGGACGATCATTCTTGCTGTCGTGCCGGCGAACGTCGACATGCACAACACTGAGATCCTCCAGGCGGCCGAGGCGGCCGATCCGGACGGCACGCGCACGATTTCCATCATTACGAAGCCCGATCTCATTGACGACGGCGCCGAGCAGAGCGTGAAGGAGCTCCTCTTGAACACGACCAAGAAGCGCCGACTCGGGTACCATATGGTCAAGTGCCGCGGCCAGCGCGCGCTCTCGTCGGGCGTCACGATTGCCAAAGGCCGCGAAGACGAAGCTGCGTTTTTCAAGACACACCCGGTGTGGCGCAACGTGGACCCGGGCCTCGTTGGTACGGAGAAGCTCGCGGCCAAGCTCTCGGCGCTCTTGGTCGAGGCGATTGCGAGCGCAATGCCAGCGGTCTTTACCGAGATTGACGCGCAGATGAAGGCCTGCGTTTTAGGGTTGCGCGCGATGGGCGATGCGATGACGACGCCGAGTGCGCGCCGTGCGCACTACATGCGCCACGTCGGCCTCGTCACGAATCGGCTCGCGGGCGCGGCCAACGGCGACTATGACGACGGCGCGTTTTTCGACACAACGTCGGCGGCCTCTGCAGTCGACAACCGTCTCCGCGCGCAGCTCTGCGTGCTCGACGCAACGTTTCAGCAAGAAATCGCGGCACTCTCGGTGGTGACGACGACCAACGTTGACCGATCCAACGAGATGCCCGCTGTCGGCGACTACGTCGAAGTCGACGCCAAGAACCAAGACAAGTGGGTGGTCGAGCGCGTCACGGCACTCAATGGCCGCTCGATCATGTCGGCCGTGTCGTCGCCAAGTGCGTGGACCAACTCCTGGCGGTTCATTCCGACCCAAGACATTTCCGAGCTCAAGCAACTACTGCGGGAGAACCGCGGAAATGAGCTCCCGCTCTTTGTCTCGAGTGCGATGTTTGGCAACATTGTGCGCGAGCGCTACGTGAGCAAGTGGCGCGCGCCCATGCTGACGCTCTTCCGGGCGTACGAGATGCTACTGGAAGGCGTGGCCGCGCGCGTCGTCTCGTCGACCCAGGCTAACCCGCGGGTGCAGTCGCACCTTTTGCGTGTCGTCAAGGACGTGCTCTCCGACTTGTCGGAGACGGCCGAGCTCGAGCTCGAGAAGGTCTTGGCCACCGAGACCCGCCCGTATACGCTCAACGACGATCTCTACGACAGCCTCCAGGAGCGCCGCATGCAAGCACTGCAGGACGGTTTGAGCGCGCTCTCGGCCGGCGACGAGACGGCCAACGTCTCTGTCGGCGCGGTCCGAGCCCTCATGCAGGCGCACGGCGGCACGTGCAATGAAAACGCGCAGGCGCTCGACTTGCACATGGCGATTGCGTCGTATGTCGACGTGGCCAAGACGCGGTTTATAGACGCGATCCCAATGCGCCTCAACTCGTGCTTTGTCGAGCCATTCGTCGACGAGGTTGGTCGTCGCCTTGAGGCGACGGACGAGACGCTCGCGAGCCTCGTGGTCGACAGCGTGGTCGACACGGCGGCGCGCGAGAAGCTCGAGGCGCAGCTCGCGTCGCTCAAGAAGGCCAAGGCCGAGATTGTCGCGCCAACCTCCTTGTAGGTCGCCTTGAGACACTGCTTACTTCAGGTATCTCGATCCACTTTGGAGCAATAATCTCTCTCAATACATAACGCGAAACAAGGTCGCATTGCTGGTGCGTGGCGGACCGAGGTACGCGTGGTCGGTCGGCTGGCAGGGCGGTGGGCACCGAGCACGCATGCTAGTCGGAAGCAAAGTGAGAGGTGCAATGCCTAGCGGTTTGTAGCCGCGTCTCGCTCGACGCGAATACGCAGCGAAGCACAAGGGCGAGGACGGGAGGCTAGGACATGGTGGGTGTATTGATTGGTGTGTACTATATCGGCGGCGGAGAGCTCTAGTTTAGACTTGGTAGCCCCGCTTCTGCGCGCCCGCGAGCTTGTCGACAATGTCCCCAATGACCGGGAGGTTGAGGACCGTGCCGAGGACGGGCGTTTGCCGGAGAAAGGCGACGGCGACGGGAAAGAACGAGCCAAAGAGGTTGAGGAAGCCAAAGGTCTGCACGCACATGCCAATGATCGGGTACCGGATCATGACGAGGAAGATGCCACCGAGGAAGCAGACGATGCCACGCCAGCGGTCCTTGCGCGTAAAGAACTTGATGGTGCGCGAGAGGCCGATGGTCATGGCGAGGCCCGAGAGGAAGAGCACGTCGCCGATCGCGAGGAGCGCAGCGTCGAAGAAGAGCATGACGCCGAGGAAGAGGAAGAGGAAGCCGACGCCCAGGAGGAGCGTCCCGATCTTGCGGTTGTCGTCCATCATGCTGCTGCTGCTTGTCGACGCCGTAGGAAACCCTATGGCAATAGAATACAAGCCCGAGCAGCAGACTTGATGTTTGTATGCATGGGCTTTTTATATGTAAACCTTCGTCATTGGCTTAAATACAATACTTTTGGCCAATCAGCGTGAAACAACTCATACATTCGCCATGCCTGTCGCTCGACACCTGTCGTCCCGCAAGCCACAGGAAGGTGAGCCCAAGTCCAAGACGCTACGCTACAAATGCACAGCGAGGACTCTATAATGTAGTCGTAGCAAGGTGCGAGGAAAAGCTACGTTAAATACAAACACGTTGCATGCTCCTTAATGTCGTTGGAGAGCGTTCACCTAACCCTTACCTAACCCCACCGCGTGGAGAGGTAGAGATCTGCGGACGGTGGAGGCTATATCATGAAGCAAAGAGTCATTCACTACACTGGTCTAATACTGCATTAGAGACTTGCAGTGTGTTTGGGCGACGCAAAGGTCTGGTATCCGTCCGTCGACATGTCGGTGCGCTGGCGCATATTGGAGAGTTCAGGGTATTTGGCTTCGAGCTTTGTCCAGGACGGAGCGTCGCCAAGGTCCAAGTGCGGCTTCAAATACGCGCCCGTGACGTCAGCAATGACTTCAAGTACATATGTCACATCGATCTTGCCGGCGGCTCGGGCGAGTTGGCTGATTTTCTATATCAGAGATTCTCATGAGCTATACTGGCGCAGAGATGTCGAGTGTACCGGCGAGAAGAGCCCGAGGTCCGAAAAGTTGTTGTGGCGCGAGTCTTTGATCGAATAGAGCTGCGTGTCGGGGTGCGTGGCCGCCGACACATTCTTCGAGAGCGTCTCCATGTGCGTCGTCCAGTTGACCCACTGCTCCGAGATCAGATGAAACACCGGAAGACGCGGGCCCTCGAGCACCACGTCCTTATCAAGCGGTGCCATCCATACGTCCATAGCCACAACCGCTTTGACGCGGTCGTCCCGGGTCGCCCTAACCATATTCATGAGGGTTTGCTGCATGGATACATGGTTCGGGAGCATACGCCGTCATGACGGTCGCCCCACCAAACGAGTGGCCCACGAGACCGATCCCGTCGAGGTTGAGCTTTTGGTAAAAGACACTGGTTGAATCGGCTTGCACCATCTCTACAGCGTTGATCATGCTCTGCACGTTGGCCACACGTTGCTGCAGTTGGCTGTTGCGGATCTTGTACTCGACATTGTCCCAGTCCTTTGCGGCCTCGGGCGGGAGCGGGTGGTAGTAGTCGTACTACACGAAGAACCCTTGAATGAGCATTGTAGTCGACATATACGGTGCTTGTTACCGTCACACGTCCGGTCGAATCAACAAGTCGATTCACGGATGATGACCCGTCGTTGTGGTTGAGTGCAAACACAACATAGCCTAGAAGACGCGGTATAGCAGCCAATTCGCTTCTTCATCAAGAAACAGAAACGAGTGTGGTACCTTGGCTCGCGAGTTGCTCGTGGAGCACGGCGTACATCTCGAGGGTCCCGCCGAGCCCGTGGCTAAAGACAATAACCGGCCACCCGTTTGCGGACGGCGGCGGGAGCAGCGGGACATCCACGACTGCATGCAGCCAGGCGTTCTTGAAGTGTGAGAAAATGAACGCCGGGATCTTGGCAAAGATACTCAGCCCGATGGCCAAGTGCTTGCCGTGGTGCAAGTACGGGAGGAAGACGCGCTTGCTGCTCGACGTTGTGGGTGCCGGCGACGGGTAGAAGATGCGGACGTCGAGGTCTTCGAGGCGCTCGGTGACGCAGCCAACGTTGAGGTAGGTAGAAGTGATTTTGGGAAAGGCGGGCAGCGGAAAGAGGTAGACGCCAAGCGCTAGGCAGACCCACAAGAGCGCTTGGGCAATGACGATGTACTTGACCGAGAACGACCCAAAGAGGAGGACTGTGTTGAGGATCATGAGCGCGTAGCCAGGTACAAGGACGCCGCGCGCCACGTGGAATGCAAGGACGCCAACGAGGACGACGGTGATGATGTACCGGCCGACCTCGGCCGCCGACTCGACTTGTGCGAGCACCGACTGGGCTGCTGTGAGGACGACAAGACCGACCTCGATCGCTCGGACGTGCTCCATGAGACTCTGTGTGATCACGTGGCGGACCAAATGGAAACTGACGCTACAGCACACCGTGGCCGTCCCGCTGTTTAGTACTTGGCGCCGTCGAACAAATCGCCCGAGAGTCCGTTGGGATGTCATCATCATACACTATTTTCGTTCAAATTGCACTTTCCGCCTCTCGACGCAGCATTCACCATGGCAATGACCGCCACCGTGGCGCTTCCGCTACGGCTTGTACGTACGTTAGCACGGCACTATGGCAATGGCATTTGTCGTCCATGGCAAGCCTTGAAAAATAACCAGGCTAAAATCACGCAAGGATACAGGCGCGGACTTCGGCAGCTCTCAGAGTCCTGGCTTTGCATCCGTGGTATGGCAGCGCATCCGTTCTCGTGTACGTTCTACAGCCTTAAGTAGACTCCAATACGTAGGTGTTGTGGTGTTGAACGTCTCGATGTTTCTCAGGCATTGGCGCATCGAACGCACGAACGCTCGACGCGGAGACGTTGGCGTTTAACACTAAATGGAACGATCCAAAATGGCGTCACCGTAAATGCTGTTATCACACACGAATTCTTCTCCAAGCTACTACTATTTCGAAATGTATCAAATAGTGTAAGATAAAATGGTGTGTATTTGCAGGAGGCGTTGGTGCAAAACGATTGGCAACCAACCACCGGGAAGTAAATTCGACTGGAACCACGGCTTTAGATGGCTCAAAACCCAATTTTACATTGAGATCATGTCCTTCCGTGGCGGTCGAGGCGGTGCCCGCGGTGGCGGTGGTGCGCGTGGCGGTGGTCGTGGCTTCGGCGGTCGCGGCGGTGGCCGTGGCTTCGGCGGCGGCCGTGGCGGCTACGACGAAGGCCCTCCGGCGACGGTCGTCGAGCTCGGTATCTTCATCCACGCGTGCGAAGACGAAATGGTCTACAAGTCGACGAACGACAAGGTCCCGTACTTCAACGCCGGCACGTACCTCGAGAACAAGACCAAGATTGGCAAGGTCGACGAAATCCTCGGCGCGATCAACGACGTCATGTTCACGGTCAAGCCCGATGCCGGTGTCTCGGCCAAGTCGTTCAAGGCCGGCGACAAAGTGTACATTAGCCCCGACAAATTGCTCCCGCTCTCGCGGTTCACCGACCAGGGCAAGCCCTCGGGCGGCCGTGGTGCGGCTGGCGGTCGCGGTGGCCGTGGCGCTGGTGGTCGCGGCGGTGGTCGTGGCGGTGGCCGTGGCGGCAGCTTCGGCGGTGGTCGCGGCGGCGGTCGTGGCTTCGGCGGCGGTCGCGGCGGTGGTGGTCGTGGCTTCAGCGGCGGTCGTGGCGGTGGCCGTGGCGGCGGTCGCGGTGGTCGATTCTAAAGTTACGCTCTTCGAACATCGATATCTATATATAAAAAGTAGCGTATTGTGTATTAAAATGACCAATAGAAGATTGATAGGACACCGATAGACGCTTTGCGCTACCTTTTACATGCCTCCTCGTTCGTCTTCTCCGCATCCTACCTTGACCTCTTGGCTTTTGGAGCTTCCCATAAGATCTTAGTGGCCCAGTCAAGCGGCGGGTCCGGTAACCGACAGATCGCTACGTTGAGATTGCCGGCCCGAAAAGGCGCAAGAAACCATGTCAAGTCGTCTCACGCTCGCGGTACATTGCCATCCTTGCGGAACGACGTGCTGGCTCACGCTCATGCCGCTGCTAGTATGGTGCGTGTGTGGCCGTTGGAAGTATGGCTGGCTACGTCACCACGGGCAGCGCCGCCAACCTCTCTGGTGCGTACGCTTCCCAGCGTTGTCGCGGCGACGCGGTGTAGGCATTGGCGCTGGAGGCCTCCTTCTATGGTGTGGCTACTCGAGCCACGAAGAGGCCAAGAAGCGGCCACCGTCCAAGATTTGGTTCCAGCTCGCGCTTCTCGTCACGCTCGGACTTGTTCTCCTGAGCTTGCGCACAGTCGTCGAGACAAACGACGTCGCCCACGGCGGGCTCATCGCCGGCACGGCTGTTGTCATGTCGACGCTCTACACATTGCACCTGCTCGAGGATCGCGACGCGTCTAGCCCCAAGGCCACATCAGCGCAACAGCAGTGGTCGTACTAACGTTAGGGAATCATAATCGTTGCGGTGCTTCAAGCTGTCGTGTAATCGCACGTTGACAACTGATTTGCAGGCGTCAGTGTCCCAGCACCCACGCATCCCACACTCGGACGTGCGGTGACGCTTGACGCCAAGGGCAACGCAAGAGCCTCATCACTCTCCAGCACTATCTTCTCGTACCGATCGGCTTCAATGAGCTCTGGGCTGGGCCTTGGCACAGGCAGGCAGCAGCTTCACTGTTTGTGGCTTCGTGGCAGCTTTCGGCCCTTTTCTCAGGCCTCAGGATATCCGAAAATCCGAATCTCAGCGTTCGATCAGGACCAGCGCGGGTTGCCTCACACGTCATTTCCGCTTTCTTTGCCCTTCGAAGCATGTACGATTTTTGCCTCACTCTTCCCGTAAGCCCCATGCGAAGACGAGGACGAGGAAGCTTATGCTCCATGTGCTAGTATGGCGGCGCCATCGCCCTTGGCGGCCTCGTCGGCTACGTCAACTCGGGCAGCGTCATCTCGCTCACGGGTAGGCACGTGCCATGGCGACCGTCGCTCATGCTCTTTTGCGCTATTAGCGGGCTTGGGCGCCGGCTCGCTCCTCCTCCTCTTTGGCACGGCCAGCTACCAGGAATACCAGCAGAGCCCGAAGATCTCGAAGCTCTGGTCGGGCCTCTCGCTCGGTGTCTCGTCGGTCTTGACGGTCGTCATGGGCCTCCGCTACAAGGAGACGAACAGCCTCTTCCCGGCGGGTGTCGTCGCCGGTACGTCCGCAGCCATGTCGGCCTTCTACCTGTACAAGCTCGCGAGCAACGACAAGGCCAGCTACAACAAGAAGAAGTAATTGTTGTTGTAATCCACCGATGCTGCGTTCAATCGAGCGTCTTTTCATGAGGCTACATGCGTCGGAGGCGGGGCGTGGCAGGGGTTAGGAGGTGTGGGCCCTGACTGCGCTTGGCAGGCGCGGTCGCACGGTACTGAACGGCGTACTGCACGGCGTCTTGGAGCGCTTTGAGCAGCCAGTCGCGCTGGAGGGTGTTGGGGAGGCGCAGGTCGAGCGTCCGGTCGTCCGTGACAAGGCTCAAGCAACGCGACGCATCCAAGTCGGCGTGCTTGCGCGCGGCGCGCTTGAAGACGGGCGTGACGTGGCCCACTTCAATGGCCTTGACGCCGTGGAGCGGCAAGAACGAGCTCGACCGGTCGCCTTGCTTGGACTGCCAGTAGAGCACGCATGGGTGCGTCTCGTCGTAGTAGAGCTTGGTCTCGTGGGGCTTGCCGCGGCGTCCATACTTCATGATCGTCAGCTCGTTGATGATGCCTTTTGCCAGCTGCAGCGTTGTTGCTTGCTTGGCTTTGGCTTCAATCACATGCTTCTGGGCCTTGGCCTTGGCGTCGAGGTCGTCTTGGACTTGCACGGACAAGTGGCTCAGCTGCGGAAACAAGTCTTCCTTTGTCAAGCTATCGGATCAGGCGTCAGAACACGACTCGCAGGACGTCCAGCATACTCTTTCTGCGTATAGTGTGAGAGCATGTCACGGAGGCGGGACTTGGCCCACGGCAGTTCGTGCATGACGCCCTTGACGTAGCGCAGCTGCCGCAACATGATGGCGTTCTGTTGCGGCCCGAGTTCGAGCACGGGAGTGGGCACGGCTGCCGCGTTGGGGTGGAACGAAAAGAGACTAAAGTTGAGCGGCTTCCACTTGCGCGCAATCTTGATACCGAGCCGCGACGGCGCGTCGCCGGACGATCTCGCCGACTTGGTATTCGACGATTTCTTTGCTTTGACCAAAACGAGCTGGTTAGCGCACCCGTGCTTGCCCGGGCTCATGCTCACTTTGCCTACACGCACATCGTTTCGCGTCCTTCTGCAAGCGGCCGTGTACCCGGGCTGCTCTTGCACGACACTAATGTCAGCGACTTGCGGCGTACGCTGGACCGGCGGCGCGTCGGCGCGTTCGACGTGCTGCTCGTCGAGGGTCGGCGGGTCGCGGTCGGTGACGGCGCGCGTAGCGCCTCTTCTTTGCCCGCTTTCAAAGCGATCGGCTCGAGCGCCGGTGGATTCTCGTCTGCGACATCGATTTCCGGCTTTTCTTCGCCGAGCTCTTCGACTTGATTCGAGTTTTCGGACTCGGCCTTCTTGTCGGTCTCAGCGCGGCGCCGGTCCATCTCGACAGAGCGGATCGTATCGTGGAGTGCGGCCATCGTTAGCTGTGTCTGCTCGCGCTCGGCAACGTCCTTGAGCAAAAGATGCTTGAGCTTAGCCCGCAGCTTGGCGTCCCACTCGACGCGGTCTTGGCCAAGGAGCGTGAAGAGGAGCTCGTGGAGGCCGCTGCCGGCCTTGACGCCCCGGCCCGATGGCGCCGGGAGGAGCTTGATCGCCACGGACGCGGCCTCGTTGTTGGACGCGGCCATGAGCATCATCCTCGCCGCTTCGTCGCTCGAGTTCAAATCCGCTTCTGTCGGAAATGCGCTCGGTCCTCTGCAAGATGGCGCTTGCGAAACCGTGGATCTGGCGACGGGCCAATCACAGGCGTGCTAATTCCTCGTACAGCTCTGTGATTGGCTGCTTGGAAGCCGGCGGAGGGAGGCTATAAATAGAAATACTCGGATTGCTTCCGTCGACTAATTTTAGACGCCGACTCGGCGCTAGTCGATCTCGACTAACTAGACCTCATCGGATCCAACCTCTCTCCACGCCCTATATCTCACAGGACCTCCCTTCCTCTACTACAGGAGAAGATGGCCAAGAGAGCAACGCGACCAGTCACAGACCACATGCCAACGCTCAACGTACCGTTTCAACGCCCAACGTCGCACCAAGGACACGCATTTCGGTGCGCTGGGCCTTGCGACGGTGCCGCTTGCAGCATATTCGTGAGGCAGCGAGAGAGCGGAATTGCCTCTCATCATCGGTCGCCTCACCGTTCAAGGCTGAAGCAGGAAGAAGCAAGATTGCAGTTATCGACGTCTTGGCGTTTCCGCGCCAAGTTGGTACCTCTGGCGTCATCATTAATAGTGGCTGCTCATGACCCGGACCAAGCACTTTGACGAGCTACAAGACCTCGTGGCGCGGACGGCCGAGCGACGGACCTTGGACGATGCGGCCTTTGCCACAGCCTACGCAAAGCTATTGCGCGCCGTGCGCCATCGACGTCGCAACTCACCGACAAAACCAAAAACCACTGCCCAGGGTATGCGAACGTCGACCGCGTGGTGGTGAATGAGCGTGCATTCATGGTGAGCGTGTAGCTTCGATCAACGACGAGCCGCGACCCGCCAAGCAGCTGTCGGACGACGAGCTCAAGGACGTGGTTCAGCGCGTCCTCGCGTCGGGCGATGCCTTCATGGACAGTGCAACCGCCGAGATGCAGCATCTCAAGGAGTTGCAGAGCCTCTACTTTAAGGAAGTGAGTCGGTGGCGCGATGACAACCACGATCTCGACGTAATCCGTCGCAGTGGGCGCGACCGCGGTAGAACGTTCCGAGTAGGCGCGCGCACACGGGCTGCAAGCATCGCTGTCGACGCTTCAAGAAGACCACTCGACCGCGCAGGACGCAGTGTACGATGCACAAGCCCGCAAACTCCAAGCAGCTCAAAGCAACCTACGCGATCTCTCGGCACAGCTGACTACACTACGCGTCGGTGCGTCCTGCAACACTGTGACTGACTAGGTGCTAGAGCACGATTATAACCGAGGAAGATGAGCTCGCGCGGTTGACACCGGCCATCGACGTAGAGTAACAAAGCAGAGCGCCAAGGCTAAATGTTTCGTGCGTCGTAGACTGCGCTTGCTGCGCAACAGGAACACGACCGCTTGAGCCGGGACACGGAGACACTGCGAGCAAGTCGGTCCTATTTCACAGCTCATCTCTCGTGTTGAGACGATGGAATAGAGCTACGGGCGCTACAAGCCGAGGAGGCGAAGCGACAGCGTATGCACGAAAAGCGCCTCCGCGAGGCCACACTTGAGCTGGAGGCAGCACAACGCGCTTGCGACAGCGTCCGCAACGAGGTGATCGGCGCACCAAAGGTCTGCTTCTCATGGCTCGTTCATGCAGCTCTCGCGGGACCAGCTGGCACTCCAAGACGTGTCAGTCGCGATGAAGCATGTTGCGAGTAGTTCGGCGAAACTTCACGCGTCGTCCAGCCTTCCGACAACCTTGTCTTCGTCTCCCAGTGTACAGTCGCATCATGCGCATTTCTCGCGCATCCCGCGTCAAGCCAAAAAAGCCAACATCAAGAAGCGGTAACACTATTAGCAGTTTTAGTCGTCGACTGCCACATCGATGGCGAGCGTCGCGGTGTTAAATGTGTACGCGGATACATGGCCTGCAAACGAGGTCGTAAAGACCGTAACCTCGTCGCTTGTCTCTACTGACCGACACGCAACGCTAGTGAACATTCCTACACCCGCTTCGATCAATGCTATCCGGTAGCATCATCGTACCAGAGCTATGGTCAAACGACGAGGTGATAAGCTCGCCGCTGGCGCTGTTCCAGATACGAAGCGAGCTGTCTTTGGAGGCTGTGACGGCGTAGGCATTCCTGTCGGATCATCTTGACCACGTGGTTTGAGGCAAAGTGAACGCACTTGTGGCGCATGTAGGCGCATGCGCTGGCGTCTTGGAGATGCCCATGCATCTCGGTCACGAGCTTGCCGGTTCGTCGGTCCCAGACGCGTCCTTCGCACCCGACGCCGTTGAAGCCTAGTAAAATTTGCTGTATGTAGGAGGTCGGGATCGAACCTTTGCTCGACGTGAGGAGGTAGTTGCCGTCGTCGCTCGCGTCAATCGAGAGCGGGAAATACACGTAGCCTTGGATGGTTTGCGCTGGCGACTTCCAGCTCCGGGTGTCCCAGAGCCGCACACAGAGGTCTTCGCCGCCCTGCGCCAAGAGTGTCTCGCACTGCGGCACCCACGTCATGCACGTCACAATGTTTTGTGACGTCGTCGTATGCTGTACGCGGGCTCGTGTCGTAACATCCCACAGACTTGTGCCCGTGTCGCGGCTACCCGAGGCCAAGTTGGACTCGGCCGCTGTAGCAACAAGAAAGATCTGAGATACCAATGGCGAGGTGGTCGGTACCGTTGATGGCAAGCGCGCTCACGGACAAGGTATGACCAGTGAACGACTGCGGCGCTGTCGGCGCGTCACTGCTGGAAAGGACGTGCTGCGATATCGTCGTGTCCCGAGAGCACGCATACAAGCTAGTGGGCATGCGTTGTCTTGCTTGGCTGAAGAATGTGCATACCTCCGCGTCTTGGGGCCAAAGGAGAGGCGATTCACCGCCTTTGCATGCGCCGACAAGGTCAAAAGCACTTTGCGCATCTGCCAGTCGAGGATCACGATGCTGCCGTCGTCCCAGGCCGTGGCGATCAGCGACGGAAAGGCCGGGCTCAAGTCGACGACCGACGTGGCCTACGCATGCAGTTAGCCATAGCGCGTTGCTGTGATATTGAACCGGAATCTCTGCGCGCTGGAGAAGCACAGCCTCGGGCTTTTCATCGACATGGGCACTGGCTTCGGCGGCTCCGTTAGTCGCCCACTGCCCCAAGTCACGGTCCTTGGACGCGCATGGCCCCATCGAATCTGGGAAATGCAATTCAGTAACCGCAATGAGCGTTTTGACCAATGGCATCGCATGAACATCGTTTTCATTTGAAAAACAGCGATGGATTGGCCAGCAGACGTTATTTATCGTGCTCTGACCAATGAAATCGTCGCTCGTACGTTGCATCGATGCCATTGGCTATAATTCGGATCGCAGACGATTTCCATTCAAACTCGGACCAAGAGAGACGCGAGCATGTCGGGACCGCAAGTGAGCCGCTCGAGCCTTCAGGTACAAGAGCGGTCGCGTCGCGCCATGCAGAATCTCAATCCACTGTCTGCTTAGCTGTACCGCGATTGCCTGCGCCTCGCCAAGCACATTGGTGGCAACGTACGTCGATGGCTTGTCCTGCGGCGCTCATGCGCAACTCACGTAGAGCCGCAAGGGCGAAGCCATCCGCACCATGCTCCGCGCCGAGTTCCGCAAGTCGATGCACGAGACGGACGAGCTCAAGATTGAAAACCTCAAGGCCAAGTACGCTTCTATCGACACATCTTGCAGGCTTCCTCACGTCGCGCAATTTAGCGCCGTCCGTGGTCTCAGCAACTACTTGGTTCTTGCCAACTCGAGGTGCGTGGCCTGCTATATACCGCCTTGTGCTAACGTGTGTACTCTTTCATAGTAAGGATGGCAAGCTCAAGCAAGCGATCAAGTCGACGGACGAGGCCTCCAACAGCGGTCCCCAGAACGCCGAGTGGAAAGAGCTCTAAATGCATTCCGTATTTTGCAGAGCGCCTGGAACAAAGATCAAACTTAGTAACGCTTCTCAACATACAGCATGTCTAGTTGTTCGCGTGGTTGCGCGTATTTCATCTTCATACTTTTAGACAGCCCTAGACCTTATTGCTTCAACAGTACACATGCTACTTGTACCGCCTTTACCTTCTCTCCACACTTCAACTGTGCATGCAACGTATGTATCTTAGTCGTCCAAATTGAAAACTAGCTCGATCGTATGTAAAAGGTGCCTTGGCGGTGGTGCAAAATCGGAGCGTCATCTTACATGGAGAGCTCCGTGTAGTCGTGCTGCGACACCTCGCGTTGCTGCTGGCGCACGGTCACGAGCGCGACGCCGATGGCGACGACGCACACAAGACCGAGCAGCACCATCGGCGACGACGACTGCATCGTCACGAGCAACTGCTCGGTGGCCGCCACGTCGTCGTCACCGGCTTCGCGCAAACTGAGGAAGCTCGAAACAGGGCACGTCGACATCTTGCCGTTGCAGTAGGTTGGGCGGTTGTACCCGACGGGCTTTTGGCACACGACAGCCTTGAGGAACTTGTCGACGCACGCCCCCTCGCCGTCGCAGAGATCTTTGCCGTCGCAGACGCCGCCGTTGGTGGTGCCGGTGCAGACCGTCGACGGCGACGCAAAGTCATCGGGCGGGCAGAAACCCATGTCACCCGTGCACGTGGCCGCCAGGATGCACGGGTTGCCCGTCGTGCCGCAGATGGTGCCGGACGGCTTGTACTTGTCGACACACTGGCCCTTGCCGTCGCAGTAATCTTGATCGTCGCACGGGTTGCCGTTGCAGGTACCGATGCACTTGGTGCTTGCGCTGGCAAACGTATCGGGCGGGCACACGCCGTTCGAGCCGCAGCAGGTTTCGGCTACATCGCATTGGTTCTTGGCGGCGCGACACACAGACCCGGAGGCTTGATACTTGTCGGCGCAGTTGCCTTTGCCGTCGCAGTAGTCTTGTGCGTCGCAAGCACCACCGGTCGACTTGCCAGAGCATGTGACCGAGGTGGACGCATAGGTGTTGGCTGGGCACTGACCCGAGGTACCCGTACACGCTTCAGCCACGTCACACTCGCCGTTGGCGATACGGCACACCTTGGTCGACGGAAAGTACTGGTCGACGCAG